TTTTTCTTTTTTTCGTTTAGTTAAATCTGTAGAAGTAAATTGCTCAGATAAATATCTGGATTCAACTCCTGTGAACGTTAAAACGCACTATTATAGTTGAATTAAGAGATACAGTAATATCACTTTATATTTAGCTTCCATTTCCAAGAATTAGTGAGAATGACGATGGACGTTATAAAATAGGCAAATATCTAAAATGGATATTACTGTAATTATTTTGAATTAGTTGTTTATTAATTTTTGCTTGAAATAATTGGATTAAGAAATGATTGATTTGGATTAGTCGTATTATATTTTCTCCTGTATTTTACAATTTTAGATTTTATATACTTTAATTATATTTATATATATTTATATTTATTATTAATTATTTTTCTTTTTTTTTTGGAATTCTTGATTATATTGAAACTTATAAATTTTTAATAATTTTAATTATATTAATTATTTTTAATTGTATTGAACAATAATTATTTTACATTATTATCATATAATTAAAAGCAATATTAAGATATTTAAAAATCATATCAAAAATATTTTTTAAAGGATTTTAGAAAATATGACGTACAAGCAGTGTTATATTATATATCATCAATTTAATATCGAACTTTGAACTTGTTTAATATAAATGTGACATACTTGTTAGGACACAAATAATTAAAATGTTGACCTCGTACATTACTTAATCTTAAAGGAAAATTTCACTGTTTATACATATATATATATATATTTCATATTTCATTTCTTTCGATTCATTCTGCTTATATTTATACGAATTAAGTCATGGAGAATTGTGATAACACTTAGAATTTTCGCAATAAATATACACAAATATATAAACGAATGAGAATTTTAATTTTTCAATCATTTCTCGTTACTCTTCCACACGTTTTTCTAATAAAGATAAAATTACAGTCTATAAAAATTAATATTAGAAAATTTTTCTAAATAAAAATACGAATTGAAAAAAGAGATTAAAATTTTTTATTGAATAATCTAACAAAATATTCTTATATTTTTTATTCTTTATAAAAAAAAAAAAGATCACTTTTTTTGAACTCTTGAACTCTTGTTTACTTTAATTTTTGAAAACTAAAAAAAAAAACTTCAAGATTTCGTTCTCAAATATTTACGATATCTGTAAAAGAAAATCGATTGGAGACTTGGTTCCTTCGACTCTAAAGATGATGAGAACCGCTGCAGGTTTTACGACTCGCCCCGATTCCCACTCATTCTCTGCCCACTCTTTCCACGGAACGTTTCATGGAATTAACTCGCCTTGGGCCACGGCTATATTTCAGCCCTTTTATACGAGTCCACGGAACGTATTTGCTTTCCAACCGGGCCTCTGGATACGGGGTCGCGTTTTTAAGGGAGGACGGTGAATTTTAATTCCCGCCTTCTCGAGGAAAAGCGATCTTTTTCTTCATTTCCGATCGAGTCCACGCGTCTTCGAGTTCGTTATGCTTTAAATGATTAAATTGCGCGAGAACTCGTTTGAAAGATGATCGAAAAATATATGTTTAGTTTTAAATATGATTTTAAAAGATACATGAATATTATATCGTGTGGATATTGTTTTTATTTGGAATTTTGTAAAATAATTTTAAACGAATACAATTAATTGGCATCTTTGTATATACGAAAAAAAAAAAAGAAAAAGAATAATAATAAGAATTAAGTCCGAGAAAAATTTCTCCAAGATGTTATTATTTCTCGTTAAAAAAGACACAAATTATCTTATAATTTTCTTTTTACACAAAAAAATAATCTTTAGAATTATCTTCAATCAAATATCAAACGAAGACACAAATATGGAACAAATAAAATCATCCCTTAAACACAGTAAGCTTTCAATTAACTATTCGAATATGATTTATGAAAATATATCCCTTAAAAGAGTAATAATAATAATTAAGAAAAACGCACAAATATAATAATTTCACTCGTTTATTCGATTACTTGAAAAATTTCAAGATTAAAACGAAAAAAACTACTCCAGTAATTCTACAAACCTTGTCCAATAATAAAGTGACCAATCGAACGTTTCAAATCAGGAAGAAAAGCCTTCCACCCCCCACTTCTTCTTCCCCCCAAAAGATTTATTTCCCTCTGTTCTTTCGCCAGTCGTAAAATCGCAATGGTCAAGTAGTTGACAGCAATTTACCGACCGAGATCGTAAACGTTTTCATCGACGGAGGAGGCCCTGTCGCATTCGATATCTCGCGGCAGCAGCCGACGCAACGTGCGTTTATCCTTTTCCTTGGCCCCTGAAAGGAACGCGTATTCCATCCTGCTCCAGTTTAACCGTGGAAAACGGTCGGATGGTTTCCACAGGAATTTCATATCGTTTTTTCGCGGAAGAGCGAGCGAAGAAATTGAACGGGAGAATTTGATGAGGCTGCGGAGATTTTTCTTTTTTGTTTCCCCTCCCGGTTGATGAGAATGAGAATTTTGTTGGAATTTTGTTCTTCAATTTGGAAGATTGGAGGAAGGTTAGGTCGAAATCGAAAGAAATATATAGAAAAGTGGGGGGAAAAATTTAGTTATGTCCGGACGTAATGTAATTCAATAGTTTAAATCGAGAAGTTAGTTTGGATGATGGTTCTTGTTCATTCGTTCCGTAATGTAAATTAGAAATTTGATTGGAAGTGATATAGCAAGGATCAGAAGGAAGAGTATGTGATGAAATCTAAATGTTGTATTTGGAGATAATTGTAATTAATTATGGATATTATTCTGAAATTATTAAAATATAAAGTAGATATCGATATTGAAATAAAATTCAGAATTCTTATTTTAAGAAGAAATAATATTACAGATGTTTTTCAATAGAATTTAAAATAACATTTATTATATGTAGTTTCGCGTACAAGTTTAGTTTAGAATTCTTATTTTAAGAAGAAATAACAATTTGCGATTATTATTCTCAAAATTTATAAAATAACTGATAAGATATTGAATTGTCGAATTTAAAATGTGTGCCACAATCATGCGTTTATTCCTCGTGTATATTCCTTTAAATAGAAACGAGATTTTCTCAACAATTTCTCGAGAAATGCCTCGAGTAAATGAGATTATCAGGAGAATAATTTTACAACGATTCCAATGATTCGATAGCTTAGAAATTTCAAGATGACGTCCAACGTATGCCTATAACGCGGATCGAGTAATAGTTTTTAGTATCTCCTCGACGAGGAGACGATATCAAAGAGGTAATACGACACTCTCGTAACAGGCAAATAGCAATTGCACTCTCCAAACACTTTAACATAGTTAGCCAAGGTTTCGACACACGTGCATCTTGGATAGTTACACAAGATTAAGTTGGCGTATAACATGTGGGTTATTGCAATCTATGCAACGAAGCAATGTTATCAGTTTCAGGAAACGGTTCACCCACTTGGAAACTCTTGCTAATGACAATTAAAGGATATTTGAACAACCTGGATGTTCTATGAGATAGGGCAATAATATTTAATATTCTGTTATTTTTATGTATCGAAATATTGATAGATCGTTGTGCATATTTTACACGTTCTTGTATACATTATATTTAATATTTGCGAATAATGATATTTTTATTATTTTTATACAATATCTCACTCGAATTTCAATAAATCGTGTATTTTATCGATAACATTATTTTATATTTGAACGAATGAATTGTGAGAGGATTATTTTTTTTTCTTCTTTTTTTTTTTTTTATTACGGCATTACAATATGCGTCCAATTGGAAAATAAATTTATACATATAGATCCTTAAAAATTTAAAAAGTTTCCAGTTCTTAAATGTATTAAAGTGTACAAATGTGTATTTATCGGACATAACGTATCGAAAAATATCGATTAACGAATGCCTTCTTTTCGATTTAAATGTTAAATTCTTCGTGATGAAACAGAATTGGAGGAAAGATTGATATAAAATTATTATCAGAGAGAAATTTCGTACTCGAAATGGTATAATAGATTATCGATTAACAATTCAAGTTTTCGAATAATAATAATAATAATAATAAAATTGGTCGAGAGATAAGGGGAAGATAATGAAAAATTCGTAACAATTTTAAATAAAGTGTTTATCTTTCTATTGTTTATTCAAAAAAAAAAAAAACGTATGGAATCGTCGATAAACCAAAACCACGTTTCGATTATAGATGCATAGGTATCGAATGATTTCGAATATCGAATTATTTTGGCGTATTACTTGGAATCGTTAATCCGCAAGATATTATCAATTAATTAACGTGGCTACGTGGCGTGGAAGAGATCAACGATCGAACATGGATGTTAAAAAATACCAAGAGATACCGAATTTAATTGGTTTTTTTTTAATCGAATCTTGTTTCAAAAATATATATATATATATCTATTTCGGATCAGCATTCGTTTTTCATTCGATTGCAGATGAAAATGAAATTTGATTACGATTTTAATAGAGGCGCTTTATATTTTTATACTTAATTTTTTTTTTTGGATCCAAAGGGAAAAAAAATGTAATTAAATCTTAGATTAATAACTGTTTTACTTATATTCGTATTCTATAGTACAAAAATTTAAAATTTGCTTTATCTCTATTGATTTCATTTTCCTCAAAATAATGATTTCACTAAAAAAGGTAATACGTCTATCTATAAACTTATAAAATTTGTGAAATAAAGATTTAAAAAGAAAGAAAGTAAAGAAATTATATTTTTTGTATAATACTCGAAAATGGGCGAAAAGTTGATATATATTTATTTATACATTTTTCAACATAAATTACAGGATAATAAATTCAATAAGTTTTAAAAAAAACCTTTTCAATTAAATGAAGAAACAAAATCCATGCTGTCGAATAATTTAAATAGAGAAAAAATTTAATTCTCAAAATAGTATTCTATTCTCATTTCCTCTTAAACATTATTTTGCTTGTGCAAAAAATCAAAAATCAGACGAACATCACCTAAAAACAACGAAGAATAATTCTTAAACGTGTCCATCCACCCAGACACTTTGCACAGATAGTCACAGGCTGGTTGGAAGTTGGAAAGTTTCTTGGTCTCTTAAAAGTAGCGCGTGGATCGATATTGCAAACGGAAATCGGCCCGTTGTCGCGGAAATGGAGAACGTTGAAACGTCCCTCGGGATAGGCCTGACCCAGATTCCTTGGCCATCCAGCCGCGAGATATTATCTATTAATTAACCAAGTTGGAAGAAAAAGTTTGGCTATTTGCATTTTTTTTTTTTTATTCGTTTTATTTCGCGTATCTATATTTTCTTTGGCAAATTTATGTCGAAATTTGCTTATGCTTACATGGAGTATTGTCGTTTTTTAATTTATTTTTGAACAAGTGATGGTACAAAGAAAGGAAAAATTATAATACGATTTTTAGTAACAAATTTTTAATAATGATAAATTATTGATGTTCCTAATTAATATGCATCTTTTTAAAACAAGCGTATAATATAAAAAAAGATACTTGTTAAATGTTTTATAAATTTCAAATTAAACATCTGATTGCTTTTTTTAAAATGATAAAATAGTAAAATAACCTTCAATTCAAATAACTCGATCAATTCTCGCCAATGTTATCCAAATTATTAAGAAAAAATTTGATATTTAAGCACACGCAATATATTACATGCATAGATCCAAGAAATTTCCATCTTATTCCAAAGCCAAGAGCAGACACTTGCACTGAGATCATCGTTATTCCCCGAAAACCTCGAAGACCGACCTCAAACCGCAAGGACCCCATTCCATGGTTACGAACATGGCATTAATTAGAATTGCGCGAGACATTCTCACGAAGTATCGTCGAGATCAATGAAAGATCATCCAAGGAGGATTCCACAGGAATTCCATTGGACAACGATCGATCAAACGATGGGTAAATCTTGTTTCGATTCGAATTAATATATACTGGGGAATTTTTACTAATATGCGCTAGGGAATTTTGTGGATGTAATCTAGGGGATTATGGAATGTGTTACTAGTAACTTTCAATAATTTGATTGGATTTTATGTCTCTTTGTGTGTCGTTTTAATTCAAATCATGTGTGCTATTTTTTTTGTTATTTCAATTCTTAATTTTACTACTTGTTTATTGATAATTTATCTTCTTTCATAATGTCAATATATTTTAAAATTATTTCTTACGTTTATGGGTGATTTTATTGAAAAATTATTATATGTTAACCATATATGAATATGGATACATCGTAAAAGATATATTTTTTCCTAAATTTCTACGGGCTAAATATTTTTTTTTTTCCATCCACATTTAATTATATTTAATTCATATTATATGTACAATTTAACATTGTACTTTGTATTTATATCATAAAAATTTCAGTATTTTTAATAAATTTTATATTACGTTTTATCGAAAGCTTTTCATTAAAGAGCATTATAAAACGTTATAAAACTCGAAAAGTGCCGGAAAAAAAAAAAAATCACTATTCTCTCAAACTAACTAAGTACTAAACGCGTGAAACAATTTTAAAAAATCAAAGTAATCAATCCCTCTAAGAAAAACCATATAAAACTACCTAAAAATTAAAACCAAAAAAAAACCAAAAAAAAAAAAAAGAAGAATCAGAATGAAACACCGATAAACCAAAACGATTATTCCCCGACAAAAAAACGGAAAGCGAAATAACGAAACTGAAACAACACTTTGGGCGAAACAACGAGATAAAAGGAACGAGGATAAAAAGAAACGCATATAGAGTTACCAAGAAAAAGAGAGAGAGAGAGAGAGAGAGAGAGAGAGACAGAATGCAAGAAAACATGAAAAACTAGAATCCCCGAACGAAAGAGAAAATCCTGGAACGATAGCACATGGCACAATTGCGGTGGAAAGTCGAAAAGCGGTCTTTAATTACGCTTCAAGTTCAACGTTTCGCCGCAATTAAACGAGTGGCGCGATAAATGAACGAGCGGCGTGTTAGCCGACGAAGGCCTTTTGTGAATGGAAAGTAATCGTCGATTCATAATCCCTCTGCTCAGCCTCCAACGTAAGAAATATCCAACGCAGGAAATTAATCCTTTTAGTCGGATGCTTTTACGTAAGATCTCACTTATGACGCAATTTCGGTGTGGGGATTTGGTGGTGATTTTAATTGAAGACTTTGATGCCAGAAGGAGGAAACAAGCTTGCAACATCCTCGTAAAGTTATTGGTTTTCGATAAGGAAGATTTGATTGGAGAAATGTACATGTGTCAATATGAATGAATGTTTATACATTTTTTTTTTTCATATTTATTTACACGTTTTTTTTTTAATTTTTTAAGAATTTAGAAGCTTTTCATCGCTTATATTTTTTCAATTTTTTTTTTTTTTTATATCTAATGGAAAGAAGAGAGATCTATTTGTTAATGACTTTAGAGAAATTAAAAAAATTGCTCGTGAATTGTTTTGATTTAATGTTGAAAAGAAAAAGAATAATTGAAAAGGGATGTATTTTTATAGAATAATTAATTACTTTTAAATTTGGAGCTTTACATTAAAATTATATATTCTTTAATCGACAATAAATAATAAAATACAATAGATGCAAAAATATATTAATAAAAAAAATCGTTTACCATTAAATTAATTAATTTCATACATTTCAGTTAGATATTTTCGTTATTATTGGCCAAAATCTTTTTTATATCTTTTTTATAAATAAATTTTCAAATCATTTTCATATAGATAGCCTTTACCTTTACATTTATCTTTAGAATCCTTTGAAAAAATTTATTCAAAATCTATATTTAATTTTTCAGATAATGTAATAATCATATAAAATTCGATAAAACATAAAATTTAATAATTCAAATATCAAAATTAATTGAAACATGAATGTGAGTAATGTATCGGATATAAGCAAAAACTATTCACATTAATTTTTATTATATATTTTAATGACAAAATTTTGATATATGAGTATATTATTTTATAATATTTCATCGCATACGTTTTTATTTTAATTTTCAAAAATTTCAATTAATCGACTCTTCTTGTCCCTATTTTTCCAATCCCTCTTTGTTCTCTTCATTTTCAAAGAGATCCTTCGTTGCCTTTTAATCGTTTACCACTCTTCTTTTTTTTCTTTTTTTTTTTATTTTTCAAAGCTTTTATTTATTCAATCTTTCCCGGTGGCTTTGAAATTTGTCCAATCTCTATAAACCCTTTTCTGCTTTCTCCATTCCTTTTTTTATTTTTTTATTTATTTTTTTTTTTATTCGTTGAGTTTCTCCTCTTTTTTCGCGCGATCTCTTCAATGTGTTTTCAATGCCCTTCACTCTTCGATCACTTCACTATTTCTCGTTATTTCATCATCTTATTTATCACTCTACTTTTATCGCCGTATATTTTACCGTATCCTCCCTTCACAGTTTTAGTCTTCCCTCCAATTTATTCCTTTCTATCCCATTTCACACATCTCTCCGCCATCTTCCTTTCATTCGTCACCCTTTTCACGATTTTCAAGCTTTCTTCACCCTCTTTTATTTTGCGTATCGTACAGGGTGTCTGTTTTATCTGAATACAGACACAAATACATTATGTAAATATCTAATATCTGATCTTCTTGAAAACTATTTTACTATTCTCCCTTTTGGAGATCATGATCTACAAGTTGAAAAACGTGATTCCAAAATTTTCTATTTCTTCTTTTTCTTTTTTTTTTTTTTAAATAAAAATCTTTTTCCTTTAAGAAAGTCTGTATAATTATTCGATCACAGATTAGAATCTTCTATTTACATTGCAATAAACAGAGTGTCTGTTTTATTTAAGTACAATAATTGCAAAATATTTTTAAAAAAGAATAAATAAATGATACATCATTGATAGCATTGCACACTCGTGAAAATAAGCTAAAAAAATGTAAAATAAAATTTCATTGGAAGTCAATTTTAAATAAAACAAATTGTTCATTTTTTCTTTTTTTTAATCTTTACGCGCCAAATTCGATAATTATTCAAATCTAATCGAGAAAGAAATAGCCTGTACTTGACTATAATTTCTTTTGACTCAAACACGAAGTTACAAACAATTTTATTCTACGTTTCAAATAAGAATAATCGTACCATCAAATATGGAACACCCTATACATTCCACCGTGTTCAGATGAAACAAACACCCTATACGTGACATCGTTTCGTCCCCCTTTTATCTCTTCTTTCCTCCCCCTTCTCCGCATTACCATCTTTCCTTTCTTCCCTGGTATTGCCTATACGTCTTTCTCTTTTCTACTTATGTATTTTATTTCTCTCCGTGAAATACACACACACACGCACACACACATAGTCGAACTTCTCTTTCCCCGTGCGGACGGAATAATCTCGATGCAAATTCACAAAGGCACACCTCGAATCTCTTCTCCCGAGATGAATCCGTTCCTTGAAGGGAAACGAGAGGAAGTCGAAAGTCAAACGACATTTCGTGGATCTGTCGTTCGAAGCCTATATTAATCACTACAAATCTTCGTTTAATTGTAACGTTCGACTTTCGTCATTAGAGACATCTGGAGACGACTGTTGGAAAAGTTACCACATTTATGACAAAATGAATAATTTTACTTGTTCAAGATTAATAACGATAATAATATTTGAAAAGTAGAGAGATAGAAGTAATAAATGAATATATGCACGTATAAATATATTGGGTAGCATAGTTAATAGTTACGTGGCGCTAGTGTCGCTCATGCCACTTTTTATTTTATTGCAATTAATGTTTTCATTAAAATAAAATTGAAGGATTTATTCGTTCCTATAATTTCTATAAAAAAAAAAAGAAATTAACTTTCCGTTAAAATATCCATATTACAAATAATTTATATGCTTCGATGTACATTATTATATTTATTGAATAATTTTCTAACCAAATATCTATTGATTAAAATTTAATTTCCTCCTTCCTAATTATCCGTTTTATTAATTATACTTTTTTAAATCCAGAATGGATTAATAATATAAGAATAGGATAGAATTTTTATTTTATCAAAAAATTAATGAAGCGAATCCATTTACTCGCGACTTACCGAATAAATATTTTGACAGAATTTTCGTTTCGGTTAAAAAAAAAAAAAAAAGAAAAAAAATTATTCATCCACGCTTAATTATATGAAATATTCGTGGAAGAACGAAAAAAACAAAAAACCATAAAACAAACGTAAAGATTAATCTGAAACGTGAAAATCAACATTGCACCATATAGATCAAATACAAAATCAACCGGTCAAATATTTGTCGTTTATTTATCCTTCGGAGGAAAACGAATATCGAACGATGAACTCGTAATGTGAGAAACATTTCCGACTACGATTTATGAAGCGTCTATTTCGAGCGGAAAAACATCCGGATTAAATTTTTTTTTTTTTTTTTCTTTTTTTTCCCCCTTTTCCCCTAGCATGACGTCGTACCGGCTGGTTGGATACGCGAAAACGCGGTTAAAAACTGTGGCTTAAAAACCAGTTGGTATGTTTATTTACCGTGGAATATTTCGATGAAACGGTCTTTTATTCGAATATCTGTCTGGTTACTCGGGTTTGTTAGATATTTCGTTCTAATTCCAACATCGCGAACGAAGCGCCAACGTTGCGAGTCAGCCTTTCGACTCGAAAATTGTCCTTCGTTTTCCCCGTTGGTGTTGATTGCTTTCGTTTCGTTTCTTTCTTTCTTTCTTTCTTTCTTTTTAATTTCAAATTTCGTTGGATAAATGTAACGAATAGTTTCTATTTAGAAATATAAAATCCTCTCGAGAGATCTTTGGTTTTTGTTACATTGGTAGTAAAGTTTAAAGAAAGGAAAAGTAGAAATGGAAAGAGTAATACTTACTCTGGGTTTGCTAATAGGCTCTTATCGGTAAAGCTATCTAGAAAGTTGATGGCTTAGATATTAGAATAATGAGGTTAGGTCAGTGAATACTTAGACATGTGTCAAGCTAATATAAATAAATAAATAATTTATGAGGTATTTAAAGTGGTTAGGTTATATGATTCATTTTATATCTCACAAATAATGTTCGTAAAGTAATCTTTCATCAGTCATTACATATAAACTTCATCAATTTCATCAATCTTTGAATTTTACATTTTATTTTCTATTCGAGAAATAATATTTATTATACCGTTACAACTTTTTTGATTTTTATTGATATTCATCAATAGCATTTTTATTAATAATTTAAACGCCAGAACTTATTTAGACTTTTATCGTATAAATTAGAAACAAATTATCGCGAATTAAAAATTGAAAAATAGCAAAAGGAGCAAAAGTGTTATGAACCAATATCTTAAAGACTTATTTTCTTCTAACGTAAACCGTGCTCGAATGAAACGAGCAATTAATTAGTGAGGTTAGATAAAACGAAAAGCGACTCGACTTCTATAAAATTAATGCGAAATTAATGCGCGATTAACTGAAATGATCGATGCTTAATTAAACGGTATTTCGAATGAAATTTTATTAAGCGAATCGACGATAAGTATTATCCGTATATAATATTCTTTTCGCGACGTCGTCGTTCGGTATATTTAGAAGTCGCATATCGATTTGTCGCTTGGCGGCGCTAGTGTCGCGTGATTAATTTCGAGACAAGAGTAAATTAAAAAGACATAGAATATGGGGAATGGTTACACGAGATGCATTAATTATTATTATATACGATTGCACGATAGTTTTTTGTAATTATGACTAACTTTTCAGAAAATATATCTCGTTAATTATACACGAGACTTGTTTATTAATCGTGATAACAATTTACGTACATGGCACTTTTATCGATCACTTATCTCGTTAATTGGAGCGTTTTAAATTGCATTGAATTGTAACTATTGCATCAGGAGCGGATATCTTTTAAACTAAATAAGCTTCGATACGCAAATGTCAAGTTAATTACAATTTTTACTTTTTTAGTGTCGACGAATATTTCTTCATTTATTCATATATTAAATTCTTTTTCAATAATAAATTTAATTATCGAATCAAGCTTTTTAACTATATATTTTATTCATTTATGTCACTATTTTTAAAAAAAATTATACAATAATAAATAAATCAATTCAAAGTGAAATCACTCTTGTCGATCAAATCAATCGGCTAAAAACTTAAAAAAAGACTTGATAAGAAGCCAGTTGTTACTCTTGAGAAAAAATTACCTTCAACTTTCCAACCCCAGAACACAAGAAAGTTAACTCCAATTAAAAGAGAAATAAAATAAAAATTTAACAAGAACCCATTACCCCTTTTTTTAAAAAAAAAATTCGAATAACGGTAACCAATTTACAAGCGAAATTACCTCGAACACGCGAAATCGATAACTTCAACCGAGGGAAACTAGTCTCGAAGAAAAGTAACTAGGGAGAAGTGAATGTAACTAGGTAAAAAATAATTACCAGGAAACAATGGATATTCTCGAATAATCATCGTCGGTGTAAATTTCATGGGCGCACGTGACACGATTCGACGCATAAACCGACGCGCGCATAACCGAACCGGAAATGGCGCATTGTGCGGTATATCCCTGTGCCGAGATATCTGCGATTCTGGGGTTGGAAGGCATTCGAACGCCGCGTATGCAGGTGATTGCGCCCGCCTGTGCAATGCGACTCGAACCAGGCATTTCGATATTAGAATAGCAATGAGTTAATAAAGGAGCGTTTCCAAGATGTTTGTGCGAACGCGAGAAAATCCCGATTTTTCATCGCTTCGAAGCTTGGATGTATGGATTGAAAATATTTTTCTTTTTTTTTTTTTTAAGTTAAATTAATCAACGCGAGATTTTATGTTTATATTAAAATTACGTTATTGTCGCGCGGAATGTGCAAATTAACAAACATACGTGAAACACAAATACGAATATTTGTATTTTGTTTAAATATATTTATCACGGTATACGATATTTATCATAGTATACACGTGTCATTGGGATTCCTTTTATTGATAAAGATAATTGGTAATGAGAGATGGGCTTATATTTGGCATAAATATTATTTCAAGGTATTTCGATCAATTTTTAATATGTGAGGGAAAAAAGAATTGCAATTGAATAAAAATCGAAACTTGTAACTTGAAATTTTTCGTTCGAATCGAAGAAGAAACGAAGAATCGGAGAAATAGTTTCTATTTCGTAATATTCGACGAGTTGAATTCAAAATTTTTCGGTCGTTTCAAAAGTCATCCAACTCTTGGTGGAGAGATTGATAAAGTTTGATTTCGAGCTCTTGATCAAAAGACGAAAATAACGAGGAAAGATAAACGAGGGAAATTAGTAGAAGGGCCGAAGGCAGAAGGGTAATTCTATTTACGTTAATTTTACTACGGATGCGCGCTTCCGTCGTTGGAGAACGGAAAATAAGGAAAACAGAGGCGGAACGATAATTTTAAGCGAAACTCGATTAACGCTACTCTTGCGAAACTTGTTTGCACACTTTCGTTCATGTCGCGATATTCCCGATAAAAAAAAAGCAATTGAACAGTAGAATAAAAAAAAATTTCGCAATGTTTATAAAAGGCGATATTGTTATGAAGATTTTGTACACTGAAAAATATTCTGTGTTCTGTGTAATATTTGTTTTGTAAACAAATTGTTAATTACAAGCCGTAATTTTATGCGCGAGAAAAATATTTATATTATTGAGCTTTAACTCGAAAAAATTTTTCCCATTTTTAAAAGATACTTTATTTCTGATATAATATTCGAACCGTTTTCTCCTTATTTTTATTTATAATCTCAAATTAAATTAATGTTTCTAGTATAATTTCGAATATTACGAAGAGTCTTTTATCCAGCTAGAAATCTGTAGTAGTTATTAATCGGGTTAACTATCGCATTTTCTGTCCACTTACGAAGTTATCCTTGGAATTCTAGTTTCGAAGTATGGCTTTAGAGATGTTAAAACAAAACATAAATACTCAAAGGAACGTTTTTCTTTCCTCCCACGATCCAGTGAAATCGAGCAAGAAACCGTTAACAATTTTCAGAACATTAGAAACTTAACCTAAACCTCGAAACATAACCTAACTTAACCTCTTCGTGTTCTGGTTTAGATATTGCAACAGTTATTCGGGATACAACTGTATAAAATATTCAATATTTAAAAACAGTTAAAATTTTAATGATTTTTTTATTTTTTAAACAAATTCAAAACTTTCAAAATTTTGATATATTTATTTGTTACTGTATTTATTTTACTTATAAATAAATAAATAAACATATACAAATATACAATATTTAAGGATTTCAGATGAAATGATATTTTATTGTTGAAAAATAATATCGTTCTACAAATTTACTCTTCTTATTATTGATACTTATACTGGTTTTCAATTTTCATATCTCTGAATACGTAATTAACGCGTTAAATTTATGTCTCGAATCGTCTTATCTTGCTTGTTTACAAGCAATGGATGTTCAAACTCGATTATCTTGAAAATTAAATTTAATTAAAAATAAGTAATTTAAATTTCTGCTCTATATTTCTTTCATATTTTTTTCAACTCTCAAATCGTAAAAGGTCGTTTAACCTAACCTAACCTATACTGCACATTCATCAGAAGATGGTCAGACCGTGCGTTCTCATTCTTCATTCCACTTTTCCTGATGTCGCACGCATTCTCGTTATTGGCAAGATCAAAGTGACAAAGATCAACAATGGAAAAACACACCACGGAGATACGAGATAAAATAGAAGTGATTTCACAATATACCCTTCCAATTAAAGAATCAAATTGTAAACAAACAGAATTTCTCTGATTCGAATAGAAGGACTTACTCAATCCTATAAAGTCATCTTATTTCGATCTGTCTCAACTAATAACGATAGTGGCGCGTGTGGTTGCAAAAGAGCAGAGAGCGCGAATGCTCTGCCATCTTCTGGCGAACAGACTGTACTTATTCATTACTTTTCCAATTCGACGTCGCACCAAATCGTTTCTTCATTGTTTCCATCCATCCATCCCCATCGATCACCCCAAACACTATCCCACGTGGATACATATTACGAAACACCCCGTGTATATCGCTCATGAAGAAAATAGGTCGAACGTGAGCATGTCCCGTAAAAGGGAGCCACTCTCCGGGTCAGTAATAATTCGGAACGTACGTGCGCTCGCGCGACCCACTCTCGACGTGCATACGATGCATTTTTCCCGCCGACTTCCGGCCGCCCTCCTCCCCTGGGATGTCAGCCAGGCTAACCAGTGCGATGCTTACCCGGAATTTACCGGGGAGACTGGCTGGGAATTATCTGGCGAGGGTGAAGGTGGGGTGGAAAGGAGCGAGCTTTGGATTCGTAGTGTGGCTGGCGTTTTTCTTCGATGAATTTTATATTTACGGTAGGATCGTTTCCCCCCCGTTATGCGAACCAATTGGAGCAATGAGTATTTTTGTATACAGGGTGTCTCATTTTGATCTATCCATTAATTAAATCTATCTGTCTCGTATTATCTCTGTATGCTGAGTAATTATATTTTTAAACTATGAGAAGAAAAGAGAATGGATATTTTTGTATACAGGGTGTCTCATTTTGATCTATCAACGATTATTTAATTAAATCTATTTATCTCGTATTATCTTTGTATGCTTAGTGATTATTTTTTTAAACTATGAGGAGAAAAGAGAATGGATATTTTTATATACAGGGTGTCTCATTTTAATCTATTTATTATTAGGTTATTTGATTAAACTTTTTAAATTCTAGATACTTTAATATTTTTAGTATTTATCTCTTATATTGTAGGAAGAGAGGAGAATGGATATTTTTATATACAGGGTGTCTCGTTATAATTTATCCATTAGCAGTTATTTTTCATATGTGATTTTAACTTTTTACTTTGATTTATAGGAAAAGTTTATCAGAAAAGAAATAATTATATAGTGTGGAAATATAATAGAAAGAAGTGAAATGAAGTTACGTGAAATTTTAATAGGAATGAAAAGTTTTGGAAAGTTTGGACACAAATATTTTCTCGGAATATTTCCATCGATATAATATTATTTGCAAAAAGTGTGTTTTTTTTTTCTTATTAATTATTTCAAAATGTGTATATAATAGCCAGCACATCGATACAAATCTGTGACTATAGGCATCGTTTTGCGTCATCTGGTTAAAAAAAGTTTGATCAATTTTCTAATAATAATAGAGACGATCATGTTGAATAATTCATCCAATTAAACTGGCTAATTTTTTCATTAAATGTGAACTAGTTTTAATTTAAATTGAAATGTCATTGTAAATGTAAGGAAATATTATACTTCTAAAAATCTTAAAATATCTACTATCTACTAAAGAAGCGTATTTTTATTACAATTTCGAAAATAAATTTTTATACAATTTCTCTTATTATTCGTTACGCATTTATTTTTGATCCAAGGTATAAAGTAATTTAAATATTATCTTCTTTTTTTTTTTTTTAATTGTACAAAGAAAATGGAGAATCTAAATTCTATCAGGTGTACTTACTTACATATACATTTATTTATATGATACAATTATATTTCATGATATTTAATGTCAAACGTGTTTTTATTCCAAAATTGTGGGAATTAATTAGTATCAAGAAAATTAGAGAAAATTCATATTTATGAATGTGAAATATTATGCATCATATTGATTCACGTATTTATTAATTCATAATAACATTTTGTGATATATTTATGCCATTATCTTCCCGTATTTCCATAGAATGATATTTAAATTTATAGGATGGCCACGATGTGCATATTGTTCATATAAAATCATGATTTATTTTAATAAAAGTACAAAGAATTTTAGGATCTCTGTATCGTTGTATTATTATTTGAATATTTATTCTTATTTACTTCACTTGTACACGTTTAATGAAAAATTAGAACCCGTTTAATTGAAAGGTTTCTCTTTTTTTAAATATTTTTTGATCCCGTGTCTGAAAAAGTTTTCTCAGTAATCAATGGCCTTGTGAAGGGATTAAAAACGTAGTAATGTCACAAAGTTTCATTTAATCCGTGAACTAGATCGTTTGTCAGTTAAAACGTTCTCTGGGCATGAAAAAGTTCGAAAAGAAAATTTCTTTGGCGAAATATTTCCATATTTATCGCAATTTGTTCACCCGTTAATTGAAGATTTAACCATATTTACGATTGCAATGATTTTTCTCGCAGTTATGTTGTTTTTTTTTTTTTTTTTTTTTTGTTATCTTCAATAAAAATCCTATTATATACCTAAATTTGATTGAAAAGAATTCTAAGAAAAATTGAACTTGTTTGATCATTAAATTTTTTAATTACAAACAAAAGTTTTGGAAAGAAGATCTAAAAAATTTTAAAGTAGTTTTCGATAAACTGAGACAAACGAACAATTTTCACAAAAGAGAGATGCTTCTGTTGAGAATTCAAAAAGAAAAAGAAATTCTAGCGAAGAATTAAAAAAGATTCAAGAAAGAATATTTTATATTCAATATTAATATTATAATATTATATATATATTTCCAATGATTGATAAGAAAAAAAAATCTTCCCAATTGGTTTGAAAAGGAGAGAAAAATCTTTTTGGCTTTTGATAAAAAAACATCCTCTCAAAATAGTTTCGATAAGGATGAATCCTTTCAAAGAAGAATCCTTCTAAAAGAGATTCGAAGAAGAGAAACGACTTTGAAGGATTTTTAAAGGAAATTTTCTTTCGAAAGATTTTCAAGGAAAAAAGAACAAGGATTTGACATGAAAAAATATTAAAGTAACTTCCAAAAAAAAAAAA